ATGAGGTTTCGGAAACTATAATCCGAAACCCGAAACTTTCGGATTTGGCAAAAAAGGTTTCGGTGACCAACTCTAGTTGGAGTGGCCACAAATTTTGCTATCACGATAAGATCACGTTCAAAAATGCATCTGAAAGTCTGTCCGAAAATGAGAGGGCCAGAAAGGGGTAATCATTAGGGATGTTATCCTGTTCCAACTGGTTAATTGATGTTTAAAAACTCGTTGGAATATTGTTTCAAACTATATGCGTGAAACTGGTTATCGAACTCAGTTTACACAAATAAACAAGTTAATAAAACCTGCTTTGTTATCGCTATTTAAAACATAAATATATGAATTTTACATTTGTAAAATATACTTATGCATTTACAATATCGATTAATACCTAATTTATTAACCTTATCGTTATACACAGTCGATAAATACCTGATTTTTAAGCAAAGGCTTACAGAAGAATTTTCTTCAGATAATCGATTACAAATTGGATTAATCATATTTTTGGCTTTAGATAACCGACTTAATAGTGGAAGGCCCGTATCCAATGAATAAGATTTATCGCAATATTTGCATTGTCATTTAGCGGTCGATTTTATTCGTTTTGAAGAGTTGTTGGTTATTTCGAACATGATTCAAGTGAGTCGAAGGGGTAAGTTCAATGAGGTTAAGAAATGAATCAAGTGCGCTTTCTTTATCCATTTTACGAAATAAAAATATGTAAAAAAAAAAAAAGAAAAAAAGTCTAATTTTCGTCATATCAACGTAATGCCATAATAATTAATCAACCGAGAGGAGCTATGTTTCGTTAGGGTGTTCAGAATACTAATTAATCAAAACTTATGTAGGGTTAATATGATAATTATTATTTGCGGATTTTTTACCAAAATCCGCGAATTATTTATTGAACTTAACTTTTTATTTAATTTATAATAAAAATTTGATATATTTAAGTTACATATTTCTAAAAGTTCAGGGCTTTAATGTAAAATTCGATAAATAAATTTTATATTTGGTATCTAAGGCAAGAATAAAATAGAATTGTTTTTTTAAATTACTTTCAGTATGTCGATTAAATAAATATTTTTGAAGTCAATATATAATATTCTGACGTATATCTATTTTATAATAGTTAAACTAAGTTGTATCAAAAAAAGAGCTCTCTCTTTCGTTCTTAATTTACTTCTAAGCTTCAATTTAAAAAAAAAACTTCAATACAAAAAAATAGCTAGACATCGAGAAAAATATAAATTTATATTAACAACCCCCGTATATAAATATCCTTTAGTATATGAGTTTATTAAAGTTCGTATTTATTATATCATTGTCCATCAACAACAAATTGAAGGACTATTTAATAAATATGACTTGAAATGTCACGAAAATATGTCTTTAGAATCAAAAGAAGCCAAACTTAGATTATCAAGTGAAAATGCAATGGAATTATCTTTATCGAATCAAGATTTAAAAGAGCAACGAAGAAAACAAAGAAAAATTTATCAAACTACTCAACTAAAAATTATAGCAATAGTCAAATTTTGGAACCGAAAAAGCAGATATCTTGTTTCAAAATTTATTTGTAAAAAAGTAAAGATTTTAAGTTATTATTTTTAATAAAAGTTAAATTATCCGATACCAAAACATTTTCCGCCAGTTCATTAAAAAATCCGCAAATAGTGATTATCATATTAACCCAATATATGTTTTGATTAATTAGTATTCTGTACACCCTAATGTTTCGTCAATGATGTTAGGAATTAAAAGTCTAAGTTAAATCAAGCATTTTGCTATCTAATCGATTTCAAACTCAATTTGAGCATATGGAGTTTAAATAACAATAAAAATCACATGATCGGACAAGCATGATAACATTCCTATTTACAATCATAGTAAGGCCATATAAAAAAGCATATAAAACTTTTTATAGACTTCTAAAAAAACTTCATCCAGATAGTTAATATAGTCAAAAATTTTTTTAAGAATTTTGCGAAATTTGACCCGACCAGGTTATGAGAACCAATTTACTAAGTTTGTATAGCCTAATTTGTTTTTATTGATTTTTAATGCAAGTTATGTGAATGTATAAATATTGCAAGACGAATTGGAATCAAAAACTATTATAATGTATGAAATATAAAAATTAACTTCATTGAGACTAATAAATAGAAATCGCACATAATTAGTAATTAGTAATATTATATATATTTTTTTAATTGACAGTTATACGTGTATTTCATCTCAACGTGATTTATATTACGTAACCCGCATAACCATTAATAATGCAAACACAAATGCTGATTGGCCAGTCATCAGATTTCAAACTGATACGTATAAATGTGATCAGTGTACTTTTAATGTTTATCATTGTGTACAGCGTACATACGAATTTCAAATGCCTACGACATTATATGAAAAACTTTCACAAGATTTTACCCAAATTCTTGAAAGCGAATACAATTATGATACAATTATTGAAGTTGGTGAACAGCCGAATATTCAACTTTTCAAAGCACATTCTGCGATCTTATATCACCGCTCTTCTTACTTTCAACAAAAATTAACAAACTCGACTAAACAAAATAATGTCATTAGCATTAAAGTGCCTCATATTTCTGTCAAAACATTTAATATTCTTATTAAGTAAGTTATTTGATTATGCAATAATCATAAAAGCTTTATTATAAATAAATAAATAAAATTAATTGTTTTACATTTTAATAAACATTTCTTAGATATATTTATGGTGGTGAAATTTTTTCAGAAAACCTTGATACATCTGGTATATTTGATCTCTTAATCACCTTCAATGAGTTTGACATTTTAGAATCAGTTTATTATCTTCAATCTTACCTTATTGAAGATAATGCTTCTTGGCTTCGTCTGAATTTTTCTCGCATTTATCAGATTAGTTTTCAAAATAAAAATTTTCAAGCTTTGCAGCAATTTTGTAATGACATTATTGTAAAGCACCCAAATATGGTTTTTGATTCTGAAGATTTTACCACTATTCAAGAGGATGCTTTGATTTCTCTAATAAAACGAGACGACTTACAATTAGATGAATCTGTGATTTGGGATAAAGTTATTTTATGGGGAAAAGAGCAAACTCCAAATTTACCTTCTAATCATGAGCAATGGAATAAGGAAGATTTCAAATCTTTAAAAATTACACTTCAAA